CAGAGAAGGAAATCTTGTAGCATATCCTAGCGAAATGAGCTATGGAAGACCGTCTTTTGGACAAGTGGTGTTAAAATGCCTCCAATTGACGATCTCTTTCATTCAAGTTGACAAAATGTAGTTCTTTTTTTTTTGTTTTATTTTATATTTCATAAAAAAAAATTTGTAAAAATTTAAATTTAGTCTCTATAATGATTTGGTTAAATATTGCAAATCGTTTATAAACTGTATCTTATCCATAAAAAAAATTAATATATTTTATTTGAATTTCTATTTAAATCTCGATGGAGTCATCTAACCTAGTTAGCTAAATAAAAACATTAGTGCATTACCATGTATAAGAAAAATGTGTCAATATTGTAATAACAAGGACAATTGGTCAATATGAGGTTAGCTCAGTTGACACCTGCTTTTAATACAAAGAATCATGAGTTCGAATTTTTCACCTTGTACTGAAAAGATCAAAATCATTTAATCAAATCAACTCAATTAATTAAGACTTGCAAATTAAATTAAAAAATGGTAAATGCTTCCATTTTAAATCTAAACCAAAACAATTAATATGTTTATTATATCTTAAATAAGCTTGATCTATAGACTAATGTCATTTTTCTGTCAAAGTGAGTATAGTTATGCGGTAATTGACATACATCTCAAACGAAGAGATCGTGAGTTTGATCCTTCACCTCCACATGTTGTACTAAAAAAAATAGGAAGACACACAAAGTAAATTATAGAAATTAAAATCCATGGATTTTGTTGGGATTGGTGGAGTCAAAACAATGTCGGAATGAGCTATGGACGAGTCGGAATCGATCCGGGACGCGTCGGGGTCGGAGCAGGAATGAAAACAGGGGAAAGCAGAAGAAGGCAGCGCCGCGGTGGGTGGTGTGGGTGGACTCTTGCGTCAGTAGCGCCTCGATGTTTATAAATACTGATGTTCGGGTTTAGGGTTTTGCAGCCGAAAAAAGGTTATTGTCCAGCCGATTTTGAGCCGTTTTTCAGAGGGTTTCGTGGTCACCTGTATTTTAAAATTTTCAAATATAGTACAAATTTTCACTTATATCATTAGTATATCATATATTCATTTCAGTAGTATATTATATGTATATCACATACATATTGCACAGACACTCATATCAGTAATATATCATATATATATCATATATATATTAGAAGTATATCAGACACTCATATTAATAGTATATCAAATGTATATCACATACATATATCAATAGTCAAATATATTACAAATATATATCATTTTGACAAAGTTGCAATTTTAAAATTAGATCTCCATTTTGTTTAAATGCTATATTTGAAAAAACAAAATGTGATTGTTATTTTTCTAATTTCACCAAAATATTTTTACCATATTTACAACTATTCTACCTATATATGTCAAATCGAAACATTTCTGAAATATTTCTAAAAATTACGAGGATTAATTTCAAACTTTAGTGGAAATTATATATATCAAATGGAAACTTTGCTCTAATTATAGTCATAGAAAGGAAATTAAAATTTTTGGAAACTATGCGGGGACTAAATTGAAACAACATAACTTGATAATTTAACCCACCAAAAAAAAAAGAAAAAGAAAAAGAAAAAAAGAAG